GTACAGAAGTTCGCGCGCGACGCTAAGTATCTCAGCCCGCCAATCAGTCAGGGTGAACTGGTAGACGAGCTGAGTCAACACTTCACCGTCGAAATTTACGAAAATCTCTCAATGCTTAGAGTAGGTACGATGGATGAGTTGTGCCATCGTCTAACAACCATCCAAAATCGCGATCGCGCCAGAGCCCACATCGAGCTCCGACAAGATATGCATCGAAAATTAGAGCAGGGATACACGCGTGCGAAAAATCCACCAAACCGGGAAGCATCGAGAGAGTACAGAGACGAGCGCCCGTGGACAGGAAAAACGTACGATGACGAACGTAGATACGACGAAAGGAGAGTCCCGGACGCAACAGTACCGAATAGAACATACCCGCAGTATCAAGGGAGGCGCGATAGGTCAGCATCGCGTGATCGCGGGCATGATAATAGACCGACGGCGAGTTACCCGAGTTATAAACGCGATACCTCTGGGACTCACGGGGAACCCTCTCACGAGCGTAAGGACGCGAATAATCGTCGTAATACGATCGAACGCGGTCCTAGTAGAGAGCGACATCCCCAGGTTACGGAAGAGATTCGCGGAAGAGGGGAGAAGTCTGCCGAGCGTTGGGAGGCTTCCCCGGGGCGCGTACGTGCGCCATCCGCGCCCAGTAACCAAACTAAACGTGACTTCAGCGCAGACAGAGGTCGACAATCGCGTGCCGATAGTATAAACCGAGACGTCTCGTCGATGCGCACCGATCAACTGTTGGCGGACCTACGAGACGACGAACGCGCTGACAGACACAAAGACGACACTACCAACAAGTCACCCACTGTGAACGTATGTGTCATGGCGGGAGACTCCGACAATTCAATTAAACTCAACGTCAAGGCGTTGTTAGATACGGGAGCGGCGATATCCGCCGTTGATCCTAAGACTGTCGCGAGACTTGAGTCTGACACGCTCGACGGACAGGTCAAACGTAGGGTGCCTCGCGTGAAAATAAATAAGACGCATATTCGGGGTGCTTTTGGTCAGCGCGGAGTCCAGGCGGACACGATCGTCCAGCTCACGATTGGGCTGACGGACGTGGACGGTTGCGCGCGCAAGTATACGCATGAATTCTTCGAAATTGGTACTCTCTTTGTTCCGATGATCATCGGAGAAGACTTTTTCGGCAAACATAAAGTCTGGGTCGGTAGTAATCCGCCGGCTATCATGATTCCCGCAATAGGGACCGATGAGAGAAGAGAGAATAATGAGTGCGTGCAGGCCCCCGAGTCTGCGTCTATCTCGATGCTGGCTAGCGCAGCGAGCGCACCAAGTATCAATCCCGAATTTAGACAAGAGGGGCCTTCGACGTCGAGCTCGTCGACCGTCCGTGCGACGGGTCCGATCGACAAAGCACCCAGGAACGTTAGATTCGTGCGAGAACTCGACGAACTTCTTGCACGATATAGCCGTCTATTAGACGGTTCGCTAGGGAGGATACGCGGTTACGAACATCAGATCCGCATGTTTAGCCAGAAGCCTTTTAGGTGTAAGGTATACCCTATTCCTGCCAAACATCGTCAGGAAGCGCGACGTCAGATTCGCGAGATGGAGGATCTTGGCGTCGTCAGGCGCGCTGCGACACCGTTCGTAAGCCCGCTAGTGGCGGTTAAAAAGCCCAATGGTAAAATCCGCATCTGTCTAGATGCTAGGGGCATAAATGAACGCATGGAGCCGGACCACGCCCAGCCACCTACCATCGACGAGGTTCTCGCTAATATAGGTCGGAAACGCGTATTTTCCAAACTCGACATCACTCAGGCCTATTGGCAAGTGCCGTTGAGCGCCGACTCGAGGGCGTACACCGGGTTCTCATTTGACAACCAGACTTACGTCTTCGAGAGGCTCCCGTTTGGATTGAAAACAGCAGGCGCGTCATTTACGCGTGCTATCGAGGCGGCGCTCGGCGACGAGCCAGATTTAAGGGCAAATGTAATCGTATACTTGGATGATGTCCTAATCGCGAGCAACGACGAGGCCGAGCATCTGCGTCATTTGACGCGAGTGTTCGAGGCGCTCGATCGTGCCGGATTCCGGCTAAATCGTGAGAAGTGCGAATTCGCACAAAACAAGATAGTCTTCCTAGGACATGACATCACCCAGGTACACGTGACCATTACTGAGGAGACAAAAGAAAACATCTTACGGTTCACCAAACCTCGAACGAAGCGAGAGCTGCAGTCGTTCTTGGGGATGGTCAATTGGGACCGTCGTTTCATCCCTAACCTCGCGCGAAACACCGCCGTCTTGGAAGAGTTGTTGCGCAAGAGCGTTAAATTCGCGTGGACCGCGGATAAAGACGCGGCGTTCGAGCGCATCAAGACCAGCGTTAGAGACGCTAAGAAATTATATCTCTTAGACCCGAAATGTCAACTCGGGGTAGAAACCGACGCATCAAATATCGGAATTGGCGCCCGACTCTTTCAATACGACGGTGATGGAAAAGAGTACACTATAGCGTACGCAAGTCGAGGTTTGCATGGGGCGGAGCGGCGGTACACGATAACCGAGCTAGAGGGACTCGCGCTCGTCTGGTGCTTAAAGAAGTGGCGCGTGATCCTGATGGGCCATCACGTACTCGTCAGAACGGATCACCTGGCGCTGCGATTCGTCAGCGCGTGCGCAGTCGCGAGCCAGCGCATGGCGCGGTGGCTGTCCTTCCTACAGGAGTTTGACCTGGATATCCAGCACATCCCTGGAAGGACAAACGCGACGGCGGACACGCTCTCGCGTAAACCCGTCCTTAAGCGCAAGCGTGCGCACGGCGATGGGCAGACTGGCGGGAGCTCGTCTTCGTCCGACGGCCAGGAAGACGACACGACGCCGTTTGAGTGGTCAAACGACGGTCGTAAGAAATATGCACCGCGTATCTGCATAATGGCCGAGCCTGACGAGGGCACGCAGACGAAGGAGTGGACGGCACTCATCGGACGAGCGCAGAGAGACGACCGAGAACTAAATGAACGCATACGTAGGAATCCGCAGAATTTTATTGTTCGCGATGGAATAATTCACCTACGTACAGGACCGTATAAAGACCGCGTCTTAGTACCGGAAAGCGTAGCGTGGGACTTAGTGGAACGAGTCCACAAGTACCTCGTTCATTTTGGTACAGACAAGGTGCTTGAATTCACGCGCCGGTACTTTGTGTTCAGCAACGCGGAACGAATAGCGCGCGATGTAGTGGCGTCGTGCCAATTGTGTATTGCGACAAAAACTTACACGAGGCCTACCATAGGTCCTCAGTATTTTGACCAACCGTTAGAGCGAGGAGAGATCGTATCCGCCGATTTATACGGTCCTCTCCCTAGCTCATATAACCACAACACATACGTGCTCGTCCTGATGGATTTATTTAGCAAGTATACCAAAATGTACCCAATTGCGAACCAAGGTCTCAGGACCATCGAGCACGTCATAGAGACTTTTTACGTACCCGACGTAGGCCGCGTACCGCGCGTAATACTAACAGACTGCGGGGGACAGTTCATCACGCTACGCTGGCGCCAGTTCGCGCATCGCATCGGATTTACTACACGGAGAACATCTCCGTACAATCCACAAAGTAACCCAGTGGAGAGAGTGATGCGCGAGCTGGGGCGGGCGATGCGTGCGTACGCCAACGAAGACCATCGTCGGTGGGACGAGATTGTGCCTAGGGTCGAACAAGTCATTAACGCGACCGAGCACGCCAGCACGGGTTATCCGCCGGCAACTCTAGAGGATAAACAGGCCGACCTCGTCATTAAACCCCCAGAGGCATTGCGCCCAATACACGAAGAACCGATTAGACATGATCGTATTATAGAGACAGCGCGAAATAGATTGGAGAAAATGGCTGCCAAGCGTAAACGGCAGAGTGAGAAAAAGGGTGTAGCGCGTGAATACGTTGAGGGTGACTTGGTGTGGGTCAAGTCACATAGACGCAGTGACCAGCGTCATGCAAAAATAAGGAAACTCTTTCCTCTATACGAGGGCCCATTTAAGATTAGAGCCAAGCCTCACCCCAACGCATATACTGTCGAACGTTTAACGGGCGAGAGTATAGGGGCGTACAACAGCAGGCAGATTCGCCCTCACCGTATTCCAGCTTGGAGACCGGAGGAACTGGTCAACCCTCCCCTCCCTCCCGAAAACCACCTGGGAGAAAGTGCCGAATCATCGCAAAGCGAAGAAGGAGGCACACCCTTCGAACCTTCTCTCCGATCATCAGAGAGCCAATCGCAGACCAGCGTTAGTCGTAGCACGCAAAATACCTATAGTACGCTGTCAACATCTAGCGACTCGAATACACAGTCGGATTCGGAGACCAGTGCAAATAACGAAACGCGTCCCAGAATAAGAAGGCGTATAGAGGACACGAGCGAGTCGTCGTCGGATAGCGACGACATGTCACAACTCGCGCGTGTACCTCAGCGCAGGCGAAGGAGGTGGAGGGACAGCGTGGAGTCTGGCGGGAGCGCGAGAGCACCGTCAGCGCCTCATGACTCGTTCGAGACGGAAAATAAACCTAGTACCAGTCACACAACGCAATCAGTTCAAAATAGTACGCGAACGAGCTCAAGCTCTGATTCGAGCGCGGATTACAGGATTCGCCCTAGAGTAAGACGCTACATAGACGATACGTACGAATCGCCCCCTGATACAGACGATACCTGGGAGGTAGTACGAGTACCCCGTAAAAAGTGTGTAAGATGGGCTGACAGTCCGGAGTCTGGCGGTAGCAAGATTGAGGGCACCGTCAGCGCGTCGCGACGTATTGCCAGCCTCAAACCGCGACGCTCCAACATCCGTCACACGCCGCAACGTTCCTAAATCTTCCTACCTAATCGTCGTTGTTACGACGAACAATAAAATGCTTCCCACATCCTGTCTCCAAGTCTTCGCCAGAGCGATCGCAAAATTTAGACCACTTCGGATACTCTAAGGTGGTCTCTACATATTTGTGATTGCAGAACAAAATGGATAACAACGAGAAACGCCGACGCAACGAACGTCTTGCGAATCGTCTCAAACAACTAGAAGATGAAATCGAAGCAACCAAAAGGAAGATAGAGCGGGAAGAGGGTGAACGACTCGACCGAGAGGCCCACCGGATGGAAGGGCTGATAGCAGTCCGTGAGACCTCTCTGGCTGAATTATTAGCGAGTGCCGAGCCGTGTAGGGAGACCGAACGTACACACAACGAGGAAACACAAGCGTCCGGCCAACAACGGGAAATAAGTCCTGATAACCCCAGACCGAGCACGTCGAAAGAAAGCGAGAGATGGGAAACACGAGAGGTGCGCTGGGAACACACCTTCGAAGAAGAGTCAACGGACGAAGAATGTCCGCAATGGGAAGTCCGATCGCCGAGCAAAACGACAACAAAACTAATATGGAGCGAGGTGTACTCATCATCAACATCGAGAACACCATCGCCAAAAAAGAAAGAGACAAACAAGGCGACCGACACGACAGAAAATAAGACGGACTCCAAACTACAAGCAAAAGCGGTAGTCAAACTAAACCGCTTAGAAGAAATCGACACGTCTCTAATACTGGACTCAAAAAGAAGAACGACGACAAGCGCTAAAACCCGTCATCAGGTAGATACACGTACCAAAAACCAAAAGCGTACCGATGAACGTATTATGAGATGGATTGGAAAAGAGTCACGATCGGGAGGCCATCACCATCGCAAGGCCCTAACTAAAGACAAAGTCCAAGAGACGTGGAGAATCAAAGCACACGGAGTTCCGCCGGGAGAAGCAACGATGATCAGGCTTGAAAGAGAACGTCGACGTAAAGCGATGACCACAGCAGCACGCAAGACAGGGTTTGGCCGCCTCTTCCGCATCTTATCCACCTCCGACATCGAGGAATCGGATGACGACGAGCCCGCGCCCGTGCCAATCGCGGACACGTCGCCAGGCGGGAGAGTGCAGCAGAAAGCAGCTGCAGGCGCAGTGGCCGCATCCACCCCTAAGGCCACTGCAGAGTCGGGCAGACATCGAGGAAGCGGTGACGATCGGCCTAGGCCGCTGCCAAGAGTAGTGTCGAGGAGCTTATGGCGCGCGGAAGCGCGAACCGACACTGGGGCGGGGGTCGGGGACGCGGAGGTCGCGTCGGGAAACGAGAGGCCGCAACCCAACCTAACCCGACCTTACCCTACGCCGGAGCGAGTATCATCCGAACCCGCGTACGTTGGGACGCGGCCGTCCGAACCAGAGGAGAGGGAGAGGAGGCCATCCGAACCCACGCAGTTGAAAGTGACCGGAGGAGAACCCGAAGAGGAGCAGCCATCCAAACCATAGGAGGGTGAGGAGCGGCCGTCTAAACTCACGTAGCTGTCCGGACTTGAAAGAGACGCCCAGGGACGATTGGAGCAGCCAACGACGTCGGGAGAGCCGGGCAGGACGAAAGACCCGGATACGTCGGAAACCACCGAACCCAGACGAACGATACCTGGTAGGCTACAGGTACCTCAGGAACGACCAGGTAACGCCCCAGGTAGCGAGCCTGAGACGCCTGTAGTTTTAGAGTAGTAAGTTGGTTAAAATTATAATAAGTAGTAGATTAGACTTAGGTTTAAGCGACTGACCGGTACGGCGCGGTTTCGGAGCTGTGACGCGCCTAACTTCCGAACAAAGGGTGGCCTGGAGAGGTAGAAAAATAGTAGACGTGGTGTAGGATCGTCAACGGGGGCGAGTCCTGTGGGTGAGAGACGTGAGACGAGCCTGCTTTCCGAAAGGAAGGTTAACCGATAGGCCAAATCCAAAATCCCGCGGAA